AACATCTTCTGATTGTAGATAGAAAGATTCTTACACAATTCGTAAAGATTTGTACAATTTTAGTAAGCCAGATTGTAGAATCAGATCTATTATATGAAGCACATCGAAGACTAATTGAGATGGTGAAGTTGATTGAAAATAATCATGAACGCAAAAAAATCTCACCTTTCTCCCCATTTGTATGATTGCTTAAGAGACTATGGTCTGTTATATGCGTTTTGGTATTTTTCTTTTGAACATATGAATGGAATATTAGGTATTTTTTTTTGAGAATTTCTTAAATAAATCAGCTTACTAATTTATAAATGATTTTTAAGTTCTTTACCGAATAGTAATAGAAAAATCGAACTTGAGCTAATGCATTGATTAATGTTTAATATTCAAATTGATAGTATTACAAGTTCTGGTGGTATTGAGGTAAAAGGGCTTGAATTGCTAGACAATCAGCCTTCAATTAGTTTTCTTTTAGATACAAACGAATTTTCTTCTGATGAAATCTATCGATTTTGGATGAATTCATGAAATATTAAGAAATTAAATGTTACTGATAGTGAACTATTTCTCAGCGAATTCCTTAAACTATCATCTGATAATATAATTATTTCAAGCAAATTGCTTGATTTGATAGTTAAATACTACAATGTCATTTATACCACGTTTGATTTTAGGAAACTATTCGATAAGGATTCAAAAGATGGTATAACGATTCAGGTCAAAATGAATCAATTCAGAAGGTGTTGAATTGGTTCTGAAATCTTCAGATTGTCAATGTCTTTGCGATATGTAAAAAATTTGTACATTTTGGCCAAATTTATTACAAATGATAATACAGTCGATTGTTATCCTGGCCAAGTCTAATATTATTTTACACATAAAGTCGATTTGCCATCCGAAAAGGCTGAATATTTTCTAGCATTTGTTCATTGGTATAAACCTGTAAGTTCTCTAAATATGCGGTATTATTTTAGCGAAGAAGAAACTTGTAATGTCGAATTATAGGATACTGAATTTTATTCAGAAAGTCATGATTGTATAATACCAGTTCATCATATTTTGGATCAATTTGTACTGATTAACTATCAAATTTCAGCCTGACGAAATACAAAAGAATATTTGGCTGTTAATCCAATTAATAGAAAATACCATTTGTAAAAATAAATTGGATGTTTTTAGCATTATTTGGCTGTTAATCCTAAATATCAGTTATATTTCCTTCTGAATTTTATTTTATTTTGAAATCTATTTTTGATGTATATCAATCAGATGTAAATTAGATGTCAATTGGCTATAAATAAGATAGGTCAAATTTTAGCCAATTTGTGATGTATATCAATCAGATGTAAATTGGACGTCAATCAGCTATAAATAAGATGGGTCAAATTTTAGCCGATTTTTGACATATGCCAATCAGCAATAAGTATACCAATCGGCTATAAATAAGATAGGTCGAATTTCAGCCAATTTTTGATGTATATTAATCAGATATAAATCTGACGTCAATTGATTATAAATAAGATAGGTTAAATTTTAGCCGATTTATAATGTATATTAATCAGATGTAAATCGAATGTCAATAGGCTATAAATAAGATGAGTCAAATTTTAGCCGATTCTTAGCCAATTTCTAGTGTATGCCAATTGGCTAGGCCAATTTTTTGATAATTTGCCAAATTTAGGCTGAATTTAGGCCAATTTTTTGCATGTCCGATTTTTTTGATTTTGACCAGTGTTAGTAGAAATATAAGTTAAAAATTAATTGAAATTGGTTAAAATTGCAGGCAAATTTGCCTGCAATTTTAGCCTAATTTTAATTAATTTTAATTCAAAAGTTTAATTAATTAATAAAAAATATTTTTTTAAATTTATTTTAAGATATATTATTACTTTTATTTTAAAATAAAAAAATTCATTTAATAAAGTAAAATATTAAATTTTTTTGATATTTCTAACATTTTTGATAAGAAAAATTTAATTAAAATTTATTAAATTTAGATTTTACTTTTAATATAAAAATTTAATAATAGTTCAATAAAAATAATATTTAATTAATATTTTATAAATATTTTTATTAATTTAATTATTCAAATTATGAAAATTTTTAAAGAAAATTTCTTAGTTTATATGGGGTGTGCAAACCCAAATCGCTAAACACGTGACTATTATATTTATATTATTTTTGTTGATATTATCAAATATGTGACTGTTATATTTTATTTTTATTGAGTCTTATCTTATTACAGTATTACACAAATTCGTAATTATAATAGCAAAATAAATCACATTATTTTTATTGATTTGCTTCTTTCTCACTTTTATTTTTTCATATTTTTAATTCCACAAAATGTCTGATGAAAACCATGAAAATATCTTTTATGACAATCAAAATGCTAATACTTCTTCAACTTTGTTTCATCACATGATATATTTTACTTTTTCATTCTGTATCACTCACTAACTTATTGAAATTTAGTAGACAGCTAATCAAACATATTTCTTAATAGGATTCTAAGTCAAACTTGGCAATCTTTGAAGATGCTTTATATGATGATGAAAATAGACCAAATGAACTATCAGAATCTTTAAAATTGATCCCTGAACTTACCTTCACCAGCTGGAACGAATTTAAGAATTGGATTAATAGATTTGCATTAAAAGAAGGTTTTGATTATAAAATTATAACAAGCAAAAAGATTCAAGGTGTAATACGAAAGGTTGTTTACGAATGTACCAAGTCTGGCTCACATATTTCACAGGTTATTTCAGATCTGACTAAGCAATGTAATGCTTATTCATTATGAACACTGTGTCCTTAAAAACTAAATGTTACTTGTCCAAAAATAAGTGATGTTGTAAAAATTAATTCGTTTAATAATGAACATAATCACCTCTTATACCAATGATTTGTGAAATATTATCACAGTTTCATAAGTTAACATCTGAAATATTAGCAGATATAGAAAAATATATTGTCTAAGAGCAGATGGATTTAGGATCTATCTATCCTTTACTTAGACATGATTATCCAGATCATTTTATTTATAAGGAGGACTTATACAACACGATTTATTAATTTTGTCAGAAAAATAATTCAAGAGATGCAGATGCTTTCTAGATGCTTCAGCTATTACTAGAATGGAAGGATTCAGAACCGCTCTGGGTTGTAAAGCCTCAATTGAAATCTGTCTTGAGAAAACTAATTCATTTTATTGATGTCTCTCATACAAAGAAAGTTATATAGCAAGTTCAATGATATTTTAATAGTTGATTCTACTTATAACACCAACTGATTTCAGATGATGCTTTGCATTATAACTGTAGTTGATAATAACTACAAGACCAGAATTGTGATATGTGCTATAATTGAAGATGAAACATTAGATACTTATCGATAGATATTTAACACCATACTTACTAAAACTGGCATCTCTCCTGGAATCATCTTTACTGACTCAGATCATTCTATGATTCGATTGATCAAGGATATTTACTCCAATACCAGCACATATTATATATTTTTCATATCAATTTAAACTTTCGGAAAAAACTCAAAAGAAAACTGGGCAATCATTTTAAGAAATTTCATCATAAGTTTTATATATGTAGGAATTCTCTATATGAGGAACTGTTTGAGTTTCGATGGAATCAGTTGATTGATGAATATCCAGCAGTAGTAAAATACCTGTCTGATACACTTTATGTTAATAAGGAATCATGGGCAATACCTTGGATACATAAATGGTTTACTACTGAGGCACAGAGTATATAGAGAATCGAATCAATCAATAAACATATATATGATAAAGTTGATCGAGCTACATCATTATATAATCTATTACTTAGTATCAAGGATCATGTTAGGAATGAAAATCATCTCGAAAGATTTGAATCTGAATGAAATGCTTTACCTAAAATCGGCATTCCAATGTTGAATACAAGATTCTTTAGTCAAGTAGATGATATTATTAAAACTTTTTTAACATCTGTAATGCTCGAAAAACAAAGATCACAAATGAACCAATCTGTATGTTATAATGTTAATCGAATCACAGAATGGCAGCATTTGATAGATGTAAGTTACCTTCGGAGGTAAAGCATAGAATTATTTTGATCTTACAACTATAATTCATATTTCTATTTCTTATAGATGGAAATTAATAACAAAGAAATAAGTGTTAGAATTAGGGAACAAGAACAAGATACACGACAAATTCTTTTTTGATCATTAGCTGGAACTATACCACTGGAAGCTATTCTTTACTTAATGAAAGAATACATATATACAGTGGCTACTAAAAGAAACACAAGTGTGATTGGTTACCTTTGAACGGCTATAACTCATCAACCACAAATGCTAGAAACATGATCTTGTACTTGTTTT